GACATCATCAGTACCTCCACCATCCTTGATGGTGCCTGGCATAGCAAGTTCACAAGAGGTTGATGATACCATCTTCAAAAATGGAAGAAGATATATACAAAGGTACCACGTGGTTTTAACTATATTTTTCCTTTTTTCTCTCAGCACCTGACTCAAGGTGGGGTAAACACATACAGGGATCAGCAAAGACTAATTGAATGTGCTAAGGCTATTTCTTATGCCTTGGACTGTCCTCTTTCCTCCTTCTCCTCCTGTTCTTTACATCTTGAATTCTGACCCCTCCATAAAAGCCCAACTCAAATAGTACTCCTGTATGAAACCACATAGTGTAGAATAACTTTCCCATTGTATTTCACAAAGAACTTTGCAAGCGTAGTCTCTCTGTCTTGCTGTCTGTCTTTCTCGTGCACATATTCACACACGTGCATTTATCATGTAATGGTGTGCATCATCGCAGTCTGTGTTTGTGTATTGTTCTTTACTAGATTTCAGGGTTTGTGAGCACAGTAATGATCTAAACTGAACATACAGCTCTGCACACAGTAGCCACTTAATAAATGTTTGGTTGAACAAACAAATGGATGAATGAATTGATTGGAAGGCATTGAGTCAGCACACTCCAATTGTCTGATGATTAGACTCAGCTATGAATAAGGACAGACTCTACTGTTTCTCTTTTGGTCACAAATATAAAATCTTACACTCAGATAAATCACTTTTTAAAAAAATGGGTAGGGGCATTTTGGTGATATAGGGGTAGCATAACTTGTAACCTCAAGGTCCTAGTAGCCAGATTCTCAGAGCCCACCTGGCCTTCCCAGATCGACAGTCTGTTTTACCCCAGTTCTGAGCACCATGTTTTATTTTATTAATTACATTTTATCTATATCTTTTGTTTTTTATATCACCTTCTACTCCAAATATATTCCTTATCCCTCCTCTTTCCAAAGAACCATCCCTTGTAACAAAGAACAAAAAAGAGAAAGGGATAAGGGATTCAGCAAAGCTAAACAAATATGTAAACCAAGTCTGACAAGATAGGGCATCCCAGAAGTCAGTGCAATTTTAAGCTTTTGGGGCCCCCTGTCTACACAATGTTCCAAACCAGTAGTCTTCTACTGCTATAAAAATAAAAAAGGAAGAAGGTGCATTTTCTCCTCTTTCCTTTGGGGCTAAGCTTGCCAACTCAACAATTTTAAGGCAATAGCCAGAAAGCCTTGGATGGACAATTCAAAGCCCCTTTGAATGAGAACCTTAATCTGATGTATCCAATCCCTAATCATGTGTCCCCTATTCTTTTCACTTTCATCATAACTAGTCATCCCGTCTGACTTCTACTCTCTGTGTCCCTTTTCTCTCCCTCTCCACACATTTAAGTTCACATTTTTAGATATCACAGAAGCATTTTAGAGACAGAAGGCACCTCAAAGGTCATTAAGTTACAACCCCACTTCATTGTGTGAGGAAGCTGAAACTTAGGGAGGTGGAAAGACTTGCTTAGAATCACACAGCTAATAAGTGACTGAGGTTGGATTTGAACCCAGGTCTTACTGACTCCAGGTCCAGTGCTCTGCCCATTTACTCTTATCCTCTATTCTCTTCTTCTGATTTCTCATTCAATTTTCCAGGGCTTATTCAAAAGGGGAAAGAGAACATGCTAATAATAACAGCACATACTTATATGACACTGTCTCATTTGATCAGGGAAAAGCATTAAACATTTGCATGAAAGAAAACAATTAGGCTATCCAAAAGTGGAATGGGCTGCCTCAGGAGAGAGTTGACTTCTTATCACAAGAGGTCTAGATGACAAATGTAATTCAGTTCAACAAACAATTATTAAATGGCTAGTGTGGGAAAGGCACCATGCTAGTCACTGGGGTTACAAAGACATAAACAATACATGCTCTCAGGAAGTTTATGCTCTACTGACCAATTATCACAGATGTTGCAGAATTGATTCTTGTTCAGGTCTGAGATGGAGTAGATGGACTCTCGAGTTCTTTCCACGTTTGAGATCCTATGATAAAATACTAACCACGGTTTCCAAATACCAGTTGAGTTGTAGCCTCAGATCATAGGATCATAGGATTCCGGAGTTGGGTGGGGCTTCAGTTCAGGCTAGCCTTGCCTTTGGATGAAGTACTTTCTCAGTTATTAATTTCTAAATTTCCCTTATTCTTGACCCCTAGCTAGAGGCACTGAACCTAACACACAGCAAGCAAGCTCCCAGAGGTCATAAAGTCAAACTATCCTTTACAGACTCATGTCCCCAACAAGGTCATTAAGAGTTGCAAATTTGGGGGATTCTTTCTGCACTTGTTACAAGCAAGGAAAGGTACATGCACTTTGAAGGTGTCATATATCAGGTTGAATTATTCTGATTTTTGAGGTGATGGTCTGGCCCTGAGTTGGTAATGGATTATGAAGGCTCCTAGGGAATAACACAACGGAATATTCTCATGGTTGGTTTGCTGGCACAGGCTTTACTGAAAGCTACGTAGAGATAGAAAGACATAACCAGTTTCTAAATGACTCTAAGTAATCATAGCTCTTTTGAATGCCATACCTCTCAACCTCATCAGTCCTAAACTCCAGGGATATGCCAGCTGATGCTTGGAGTTTGCCCTACACAGATTAGGATTTCTCTAAGAGGTGAGGGACCCACCTTTCCGATAGGTTATTGGCTCCAGCTCATCTTGCGGTTGGTGATTACTTTCAGAATGCTTTATCCAGCCTGGGGGCAAATACCAGGCCTGGGTTCTCCTCAACTCTTATGCAGCAGTTTGCTTGTATTTCTCTAATGCACTTTGAGATGAAGGCAGGGAGGGAGTGTGGACCTGTGATTGCATTGATGCATGCAGCACTCTGATGAGGAAACTCTCTCTACCAATGCAAAACATCAGCTAGTCTGTAACTTATAGCCTTAGGAGTTATCTGAGGGCACTGAGAGGTTAGGTGATTTACCTACACCTGGGTCTCCTCTGTCCATAGTCAGGACGCATAAAAGGAAGGACTTCAACCAAGGCTGTCCTGACTCCATAGCTAGCTCTCTATTTGCTATGCCATTCTGCATCTCTTGATGCACTTACTCTGTATTACTGTATACTGTAGTTAGCTGTATTTGTGACTTATTTCTCCTACCCTGCTATGAGCTTCACGAAATGAAGGACCACATCTTATCTGAATTCTGTAACTCCCATAGCTTCCATCATAGTACTTTGAGGACAATGTTGAATGTTAAATATGGTATGTAAAACAGTGTGTAAAATATTCATGATTGGGAAAGGAGGCAGAGCCCAAGTAGCAGATATGAGAGACAAACATTATCCTGAATGCGGTATTGGTACCTGGAACATCCTGCCACTTACTATCTGTATGATCTTGGGTAAATCACTTCTCCTTTCTGGGTCTCAGTTTCTTCACCTGTAAAATGAGGAGATTAGAACAGATTCAGTGGCCTCTAAGGTCTCTTCCAGCCCCAGCTCCACAAGCAGGAACTGGGAACAATGCTGCATGTTGTAACTACTCTGGTTAAATCCTTTATGGAAGATAAATGAGCAGGTATGTATAAGGATCACCCTGGTATTGGCCAGATGATCTGTGCTGACAAGACTACAATCCAATAAAGCACATAGAGCCCAAATCTTTATTTTTGAATGTGGCAAGTTCCAAGGACTTTGTGGGTGAATTGGAAGAAGGCTGAATTACTCTTGCTTCTGTATATAGAACAGAACTATTATTTTCCCCGAGAACTTTGTCTTCTCCCCTGATTACTTAGGAATGTGGATAGAACCCCAAAAGCTCAACAGCAGCCAATAGATTTCCTAATGTGCTAAGGTATACCCTCAAAAATGAACACTGTAGCCTAGAGTATGTGGAGTCAGGGGAGAAAATGGAAAGAGGGAGATAGAATGAGAATGCAGCATTCAATGCTAGAAATGGCAGAAGAGAGAAGCTAACTAGAAAGCAGATGCAGTACATCTTTGAGCCAGGGAACCAGACAGGTTAAGAAGACAGGGGATGGCATCTGAGACCCTAATATGGTTCAGGGATCACTGAAGTTTAGAAATTAGTAAAGGAAAAAGCCCTAGAAACAAAATCGAGAGTAACTTGAACTTGTTTGGGGGGGAGGGGTGGAGGAGATAAACTGAAGTGCCCTAGAAGCCCATATGATCAGCAAGGCCTAAGATAGAGGGCAGGATATATACGGTACAAATTGCATACACTATCTCTTATGTTCAAGGATGGATTTGTGAGCTGTTAGCCCTGTACTGTCTAAGGGGATCTCTCTATACACCAAAACCTTGGGTTATAACTCCTTGAAGGGAGCAGTGAAAGTGGCAAGATTTCTGCTCCTGATTTCTGTCTCCTCATAGATCAAAGAATAGATTTAGAGCTGAAAGGGACCTTAGAGGTTATCCAGCCCAACCCCCTCATTATACATTTTAGGGAACTGGAGCCCAGAGAGATAAAATACTTTCCATTTCTATCTCTTGTTCTCTCCTTTTCTTCTTCTCTCCTCAGTGTTTCCTCTTTCCTCAGTTGGCTTTCTCTGCTTTGTTTCTGTCTCTTTCTCCCTTTTCTCTCCTCACTGTCTTCTTTCCTTTCTCTGACTGCTTCTTTTTCTTCTTTTTCTGTCTTCCCTCACAATTTTCTTTCATTCTCTCCTTCATTTCTTTCAATCTGCCTCTCCTGTTTTTCCATATGCCTCCAAGGGTTTTTGTGTTCACCCCCTCTCTGAAATATGATTCGACTCTCTAGCTATATCTTTCTTTTTCTCTGTTAGTTTCCCCTTCTGTCTTTTCCTCCTTACTCCCTTCTCTGTCCTGTGTCCCTCCTGTTTTTCCTCGTAATATATCTCTTCTTTCTTTTTTCTCTTTTTGTCTTTGTGTCTCTTCTCCTCTTTTGCTCTACATGTGCTTCTTTTCTCCCTTTCTCTCCGTGTCTTTCCCTCTCCCTCGTTGTCCCCTCCCCGGCCCCTCCTCCCTTCCTGTCATGCTCGGACGCGGGAGGAAGGAGGGCGATAACTTCATGTGACTGCTCCTTCCCCGAACGCCCTTCAGCATCGGCTGCGGCTTGGGAGACACCACATGGACCCGGCTCCCCGGAGAAAGCTCCGTCACTGACAAGACCCACAAGGAGCCCCCAGCACCGCCCGGGAAGGTAACCGACTTTCCCTGTTTATTCCCTGTCTCTCCTTCCACCTTCGGGAGCTGTCCGCTGGCCATGGTGCTGAATTCTGGAGCCTGAGGAAGCCCAGCTTTCCCCCCCCCGTCCTGGGATTTCCTTTACCCGCGCCCCTGTACTCTGGGTCCTCTCTGACTGCTCTCCAGAACCTGAGGTCCTCTCTTCCCCGCCTTGTCCATACCTAAGATCTGCTCTGCTTGTGCTTCCCCCAACCCAGCGTGAGCTTCGCCCACATCGCCTGTATCTTGGATCCCCTCTTTCAGCGCCCTCTGCACCCGGGGTTCGTTCTTCCAAGGGACCACCCTACCTACTTCCCTTGCACGTCCACCTCGTCTGCCCACCAGAGATCCACTCTTCCCGTGCCCCAGTATCCTGCGACCGCTCTCCTCACTACCCCTGTGTCCTGGGTTCACTCTGCTCTTACTCTCAGTACCGTGATTACCTTTGCTCACTGCCTTCCCTACCTCTAGTCCTTCTGTCTTTTCATCACCCGTTCAGGGGGTCCCCTCTATGCACACCCCCTGTGGTCCTGGCCGCTTCACTAGGGTCCTCTGCAGCCCGAGCTCCTTCTCCTCTATCGAAGTCCCCCATACCTATATCCCTCCCTGCTTGCACCCAGAGGGTCCCCTCGTCCTGCTCCAAGTCTGCCCGGGAGAACATAGAGTGAGGAGGGGGGGTAGAAGGTGGGGGAAATATGCTGAGCGAAATATGAGCGAGTCCTTTCTGGTTTGGTCTGTTTGGTCAGCATGTTTTTGTTTTTTATTTTTATTGGGGAGGGGGGTCGGGGGTCGTTTGTGCCAAAGCAGATCCCCAGTTCCTGGGCCGAGAAGCTCAGTCGAGAGCTCTGGAGGTGGCTATTCGCGGGTTTCTCTGCTCCCCGGAGGACATGAAAGCAGCGGGATCGGAGAAGTTTGGGAAGAAAAATACTGGACTGCAGCATAGGGCACGCGTCTGTGTGTGCGCGCGCACGTGTGCCTCTACAGTGCGCGTGCGTGTGCGCGAGCGTGAGCCAGAGCGAGCTGCGGTCCGCTTCTGTCCCCGCGGTTCTATGTTGGCTGGTGTGGGGATGCGACTGCAAGGGGGGCCCACGTTCAGCCAATCTCCCCTTCCTTCTTTCCTCTCTCTTAGGGGAGTCTGCAGGAGGGAAGCCACCCTAGTAGTACTTCCATGCCCCAAGCACACACGGGTCTGCCAGCCAGGTTGGATAGAGGCAGGGACACAAGGACGGGGACCATTTAGGAGCAGGGTCAAGGAAGAGTTGGTTGGGAAGAGAGTTTGGAACAGCGTCAGGATAAAGGCAGGGTCAGAGCAGGGGAGGGGTAGGGACCCAAGTCTGCAGAGACTTGGCTGCAGAGACTAAACTCGAAGGTGTTGGGATTCCATGACCCCACCCCCGCGGACCCGGGAGGATGCAGACCCCAGTATTGCGCCCCCAACTCCCTATGCTTCCTCCTTTTCCAGCACACAACCCCAGAGTGAGGCAGGGAGCTTCAGTGGAGGGGACGCCTGGGCGTGGCTACTGGGAGTCCGTACTTCCCAGGACTCTAACGCCCACGTTTGGGGGAGAGGGTCTCCAACGTGTGCGGTCCACCAGTCCTGGTACTCGGGCCTGGGGCCTGCCCCAGCCCTTGCCCCTAACTCGGCTCCGCAGATCGCCCTGGAGACTGAACGACCCTAGAGCTTCCGGAACCCGCTGCGTTTCCCCAAGCGCAGCGCGAGTCACCTTCAAACGCCCCTTTCGGCACTTCCTCCCTGCTCGCTGCCGCCTCTGCCAAGCGGGCGCGCGCTCCTCGCTCCCTGCCCAGCCCCCGCCCCAAAGTTTCCTCCCCCAGTTCAATTCCCTAATCAATTAACCCGGACAGAACACTTGCATCTGAAGCCAAAGGGCCTTTCAAGAAAATTGACATTCGATGAACCCGATCTTGCGGGTAGTTTTCTGCAGCACTGAGAAGCCCCCCTCCCGCCTCTCCACTAGTCCCGCCCCTCCCAGGACTTCTCAGAATACCCTTCTTCCACCGGCCGCCACTACTGATCCTTTCTCTACTCACTCCTCCTTTCTAATCACCCAAACCAGAACTCGTGAGTGCCCGCAATCCTCTCACCCCTCCCCACCAAACCTGGGCCCACTGTCCTCTTCTGCCTACTCCCTTCAAACCAGAGGCTGGTTAGTGACCTCTTCTTCCCTAGCCCCAAACCAGAGTTCGTCGAGTGATTCCTTCCACTCTGCCCCAGGACTCTGGATTTGGAGTCAGAGGAACGTGGTTTGAATTCTGACTCTTCCACTTACCACCTACTTGACCTTGGGCACGTGAATTAACTTCTTTCAGTCTCAGTATAATTTTCTGCAAAATGAGGAATTTGGCAGATGACCTCCAAAGTATCTAAATCTATGATCCTATGATCCTTAGATACTGCACCCCATAGGTAGAGAAACCCCTAATCCCTAGTGACCTCTTCTTTCTGATTCCCCAAACCAGAGCCTGTCATTGACACCCACCTCTCTGACTTGTCCAAGCCCATAGAGACAAATTAGTATGTTAAAATTAAGTCAATGCCTTAACCTGCTCTCCAACCCGCAACAAACAGCGACCCCAGTGGCCAACCAGTGGCTGACTGACTGCTCTCTACCTTGTCACTGAGCCTGTTCGTTCACTTAGTGACGGAGCCGGAGGGATAGGATCTCAAGCTGGACGTTTTACTTCCCAGCTTCGTCTGGGTCAGTTAATCAAGTGGAAGCTAGTTGACCTTTGTCCTTAACTCCGGGGCTTTATCCTTTCTTTATTTTCTGAACCTTTACTGTTCCCTCCTCCGCCCTCTCCTTTCACCTTAGGATCCCTCTTGTTACTTCTTTGCAACCTCTAAACCTTACTGGGCTTTCTAAACTCAGGTCGGATATTCCCTAATTGGCCTAATTCCTAATTACTTCTGCCTTTCGGCTGCTGCTTAGATCACTGAATAGCAATCCTGAGATCTACTCCCTCTTTTCCTTTGTCCCTTTGTGATACATACTCCAGTAGTGAGTTTTCTAAGGTTTGTTCACAGGGGAAAAGAGAGTAAACAGATTGAAGAATAGCAAGGGTATATCATTAGATGGGCATATAAAGGCAAGATGGTGTAGTGGATATTTTATTAACTTGGCCACGGAAAAGGTGTGGATTCTCGTCTGGCTCACGCTAACTGTGTAGCTGTGGGCAAATCCTTTAATATCTTAGTGTCTTGGGCAACTCTTTAAAAAATCATAGATGGAAAGAGGTTTCTATAACAATAAGATCATAACCTCGTTTCCCCCCCCCCGAAAAAAAAAGAAATCCATTCCATCCCAGACTAGGTAGCCCTTAAAATTCCCAGGCTATTCTATTGAATTTTGGCTTCCCAGATCTAGCTTGGCTCCATGTAAATCCTTTTAGATCCAGAGGTTTCAAATCCTTTATGGTCCCTGAAGAGTTCTTCTCCAGTACTGTAAATTGTCCATTCGACAATTCTAGGTGACTTCTGAGCCAATCAGAAACGGTGTGACAAGTTTTGCCCTTTACTCATATTACTGTGTAATCACTGGCTAACTAGACTCCCTCCCCTCCCTGCCAAAGTGGAGAGGGAAAAGAAGAGCTGTCACCCCAATTGTAGGTTTGTACCATCACCTCAAATATAGAGCCCAGGGCCCTAAGGAAGAAAGAAAAGCTGGTACTCCCACGCCACTCATGCCCTTTCTTTTTTGATGGTCTCCTCCCTTTCTCCCCACAGGGTACAATCCAGGACCAGTGACCTGTGAAACTTGCATGTAAAGTCTGAACCAGCCTCATACGGGATCAAAGCCATCGCCATGGACTTCGTTATGAAGCAAGCTCTGGGAGGTAAGGGGGGGCCAATTTGAACACCCATGGCCTGTATTTATTTTCTTCTGAACAATTGATACAAGCATTCTCTCTCTCTCTCTCTCTCTCTCTCTCTCTCTCTCTCTCTCTCTCTCTCTCTCTCTCTCCCCCCCCCCCCTTTTGGGGCAGTCTTATACTCAGACATAGACCTTTTTGACTATGATGTATTGACACAAACATTTATACTCTCTCATCTTTTGTTATACCACCAGCACACTCAGAATTACTTCTGTGTTGTTTTGTTACTGGGCACTGGCACACTCATACCAACCTTCTCATGCTCTTTGTCACACTGCATTGACAGGCACTCCCACTGATACCTGCCTATGAAAGTTTATACTTATGACTATAGTCCCTCACTGCAATCCAGCTGAGCCTGCCCCATATATGGAATAAATATCGACACAAAAGCCTTCATTGGCCTATGCAGAGATGATGGGAAGACAGACACTCCCTGATTACAATACAATAAGGAAGAGACAGCGATGGAGCATGTCCTTGGGTCTCTTGGCTTCCCTTTATCAGTGTCTATGCAGTGGGAGAGGGTGGGAGTAGGACAGTAGGAAAGGGAGTATATGAGTGTGGGTTTGAAAGCATGTATGAATTGGGGGAGGTGGTGAGATCAACAGACGGCCAAGTATATGGACGCTGAGGAGCAATCCTTTTCCCAGGTTTGGGAGTGGGGTGGAAGGGTTGATCTGGGACTGAGGAAGGCTGGATAGGGTTCTAACTGCCAGGCTAAACACTGACAAGTGCTCTAATTGTTTAGGAGAGAAAGAGCTGAGAGGAGTGGGCCTATAGGCCCAGATGTCAGGCTATGGCTACATCTGGGGAAGCATAAGGCTATCTATGATCTGGTTATTCTAGCCCTCTAGAAAGATCAGTTAGCTGTGTCCATACATTCTTCCCAGAAGGAGAATGGTTTGGGTCATCCCCACTCGTGGGCTGGTAGCATCTCTGGTTCCCATGGGGTTTGCTCTCTCAATCCCACCCTTTCCTTACAAATCCCAGAAGGATTTTCTGAAGATAAATTATATCCCAGGCTCTGTGATCCAGTGGCATCCTGGTTCCCATGGTGTTTGCTCCCCTCTCCCCCTTTCCGAGCAAACCCCCAAAGGATTTTGTGAAAGTGAGAGCTGAATTGTTTCCCAGGGCTCAATGACTCAAGAAAAGCCAAGACAATGGCCCTTGAAACAGAACTCCCCCTCTCCTCCCAGTTCCTAACACAAGCAGATTAACATAATGACAAAAAGCCAGCTGCCTCTGGACCTCAAAGTTAGATTTTTGCTTTTAAAGAGAAAAAAAACACACCACACTTCCTTAATGGAAGACGAGAATTGTCTCATTTTAAACCTTTTCTTTGTTTTAGTGGTAAGTTTATTATTTTGACATTATATGTTAATATGTGGTTATATTGGAGAGGGGCCCTTGTGAATGTATTATCTCAGTGAGCCCAAACCTCTTTTTTTTTTTTTTTTTGGCTAGGCAATGGGGTTAAATGACTTACTTACCCAGGGTCACACAGCTAGTAAGTGTTAAGTATCTGAGGCTGGATTTGAACTCAGGCCCTCCTGACTCCAAGGTCGGTGCTCTATCCACTGCACCACTTAGCTGCCCCCAAACCTCTTCTTAATGGTCCCCAGTACATACACCATAACCATCCTTCCTTACAATCTATTCCCTTTCCAAACGGTTAACCTCACCTGACACCCCGCAGCCAGGGCCTAGGACACACTGTCACAAGCTAGCAGAACAGTTCAACCACCCCCATTGTGAATGCCCTGATTTTGAGCCATTCCTAAAATGTTCCGTGCAGCGCTAGATTGTCCAGGCAGGAGGCCCAGAGAAGTATGGGAGGGACAAAGGCTTTGCTCTCCTTTCTGGGATGTTTTCTTTTTTTCCTGTAGATTAGGATTTAGAGCTGGAAGAGATGGGAGAGACCATTGAGTATGACTGCCTTGATTTACCGGGGAGGAAACAGGCCCAGAGAGGGCAATTGACTTGCAGCAGGTGCACAAAGAGTAAATAGCAAAGCCTTGACTTCAAATACTTTGACCTTCAAATAGCTTCTTGAGGATACTCCGTTAACAAGTGACTGAAGGCTGAGTGGTCGCTCTGCTGGTTTGCTCCACCTCTGAGCTTGGACAATGGAGAAGTCCAAGTATCAGGTCATGGGTACGAGAAACCAGGACTGCAATCAGTCAGCCAGTCATTAAGCATTTATTAATCACCCACTACAGGGGCAGCTAGGTGGTGCAGTGGATAGAGCACCGGCCCTGAAGTCAGGAGGACCTGAGTTCAAATCTGGCCTCAGACACTTGGCACTTAGTAGCTGTGTGACCCTGGGCAAGTCACTTAACCCCAATTGCCTAAACAAAACAAAAAAAAAAGCACCCGCTACTTCCCAGACACTACACTAAGATCTGAGGATACAAAGAAAGACCAAAGGTAGTCCCTGGCTTCAAGGAGGTCGTGATCCAATGGGAGAAAGTACCATGTAAAAAGAAGCTGAAAAGAAGGGAGGAGAAGGGGAGGAAGGTTGCCAGGTGCCAGGGCATGATGAAGTCCTGAAGCCAGGTGGGAAATGATGAGTTGTCTGCCCCCAGGCCTCTTCCTTAAATAGAGAATCTAGGAGGAGCTCTCTTCTGTCCACCCTTTACCCTCTTCAGTCAGAAGGAGGACGGGGGGGGGGTACTAAGGAGATGGGCGCCTGTAACAAGGCTGACTCAGCCCTGCTCCTTACCCACCCTCAAACCCTGACTCTTCTCTATTACTCAAGTCCATCCCAGTAGAAATATCCTGGTACTCACTCTAGTCAAGGTCCCTACCTCAAACCTGGGCCAGCTCCGGATATAGGGAACTCTTGGAAACAAAGGGAAGATGGCCTAGGTTTGACTCCTAGACTTTGATGGAATCCTGTTCTTGGAGGATCCTGGTGAATCTTCCTCATTCTTGCTCCCAACCCAGGCAAGCCTCTATGAATTCAGAATATTCAAGGATGCTTAAAGCTGCTCCACCTCCCCCATTCTCCTCTCTGACCAGCCCTTCATCCTTTCCACCCTTACTCCCCCCCAAAAAAAAAAACCCCACTAGTCCTTATCTCCTAGAATTTTGCATAGTCAGAACTGAAGGTATGGATTAGGAAGATTAGGAAGAATCATGCCGTGGGGGCCAGGGCTGCTGGCACTTTCACCAGCCAAATCTGTAAAATGAGGGGATTAGGCTAAAGAGAAAGCAACTTGGAGTGAAGACACCAGAGTTCCAATTTCAAATCCACCACATTGTGTGATCTTGAGAAAATCATTGAGTGGCGTATCATCCGTAAAATGAGGATAATAACTCTTCCAGAATCTACCACTATAACAACAATAATGTTGTTGAGTCATTTTTCAGTTGTTTGTGACTCTTCGAGACCCCATTTGGACTTTTCTTGGCAAAGATACTGGAGTGGTTCACCATTTAACAGAGGATGAAACTGAGGCAAACAGGGTTAAGTGACTGTCCTAGGGTCACACAGTAAGTGTCTGAGGCTAGATTTGAACTCAGGAAGAGGAGTATTCCTGATACCAGGTCCAGCACTCTATCCACTGTGCCACCTAGCTGCCCTAACAGCAATAATAGCTAGCATTTATCTAGCATCTCCGATATGCCAGGCACTATGCTAAGCGCTTTGCATGTATTACCTCATTTGATCTTCACAACCAACCCTAGGAGGTAGATAGGGTATTATCCCCATTTTAGAGCTGGGGAAAATGTACAATACAGAGTTATGGGATGTAAAAGACCTTAGCATAATGTTAAGTGTAGGCTGTCATCTCTTAAGATCCTCTTCTGTTCTGATGTAGGCACTTTCTAGGTCTAAGGGGCTGGGGTTGGCCCTGAAGGATGATACTTAGACTACTTGCAGAGGGCATCTATGTGGTATGATTTGAGTAGAGTGGGGCAAGAGGCTGCAGACCTGTAAATCAGTGCCTGAAATGGGCTGGAATCATCACTCCATGCCATAGCTCTGCATTTGCTGTGGACCAGCTCCAGGTGGGTGCCAGACTCCACATGGCCCAGGGATTGCCCGGTGATTGGCATTGATCTGCAGTGTTCGCCTTCCAGCACTTACCTGTCTTTGCCTGCCCTGGGGCTCTGCAGACTTCCTCTCTTGGTGGAAGGCCTGAAGCAGACTGACAGCACCAGGGCTTCTCCACAGTCTTCAGAGATAATTTGGTTCATCGTGAATAGTAGCATTTCTCATCTACTTAAATTAAGTCAGAAGATTTCAAACCTTATATCAGAACCTCTCTCCTCTAGAAATTTCCCCAGGCCAGAGGACATGGAGATTTCAGGCTAATTATGAGGACTTAGGATCACAGAATGTCAGAGCTAGAAAAAACTTTAGAGAGTATCTAATCCAACTTCCTAATTTTACAGATGAGGAAACTGAGGCCCAGAGAGGAGGGGGCATGACTTACAAACATCAAGTTAGACTTCATCCTTCTGGTTTAAATCTGGTGTGGTCAAGCATCTGCCCTAATGAAACTCAGACATTACATTTGTCATTCAAGTGATACATAACTGAGGCTTCATTTGGAGGTTTTAAAACATCTGACTTTGGTTTCCACACTGTGGAGATGAACAGGGTAGTTGCCCAATTTTCTTTTTCATTTTGTGTCCCAGCATCAAGGTGTTTCTTCAGATTGCCACAGAGGAACCCCTCTCTCTGGAAGTCTCAAGAAGGCAGTGTCCATTCTGTATGTGTTCACATATGTTCCAGGTACATGCTTTAATGCCAATCAATCATCAAAGGCATTTATTAAGCTCCTACTATATGCTATGAACTGTGCTGAGTGTAGGGGATGAAAAAACCAAAATGAAACAGTTGCTGCCCTCAAGAAACTCACTTTGTACCATCAAGATACAATTTATACACTTATGTATACACATATGTAAATATACACACATATGTGTGTATACACCCCCCCCCCCCA